CTGCCCGGAAGTCCACAGATGGCAAGGCCCCGAGGAAGCAGGTCGTCACAAAGGCCGCTCGCAAGAGCGCGCCAGCGACTGGTGGTGTGAAGAAGCCTCATCGGTACAGGCCTGGCACTGTCGCACTGGGCGAAATTCGCCGTTACCAGAAGAGCACTGAGCTCTTGATCCGCAAACTACCGTTCCAACTTGTCCATGAGATCGCCCAGATTACCGTCAGCACCCACCGAACCCTGTCACACCTGATTCACATGCACTCTTCTCGTTTACATTGTGATTGGCCAAAATGTCCAACCTCTACACAGGTGCAATCAACAATTCAACGAGCCTATCTAGGCTGTACAGGTTGCAATCATGCTCTTAAGCAGGGGCTTGATTCCCGGATCAATGTACAGTACGACCAAAGAACGAACTCATCAGTCGGTCAGTCCGGTGTGAAAAAACTGCGACGTGCCGACGAATATACCATGCACTTCTCACGCCCATACATGAATCTAGAATACGTCGCAGGGATTGCCGACACGAATAGACTGCGGGCCAAAGAAGCAGCAAATTGAGCATACATACACCCTGACAGTGAGAACTAGACAAAGGTGGAGTGCCTATGAAGGGACTGAATTGACGTGCGCTGCTAATTTGCATCGTCACAACATCAGGGTGCCGAATCTTAATGCCTACCACATTCGGCTATTCGGCATACGTAATCGTACTCATAGGAGTAATAGTCCATGAGACTTGTAAACATCAGAGAATCATATCTAGATAGGCTTCTTACTAGTGAACAATAAACTGGAAGATGGAGATAACGGAAGACTTCCAAACAGGGACCCTCCCTTTCTTTGAAGGGTTGTGATCTGTTGTGACCAATTACACCATTTGTACGACCAACGTTCGTTGTTTCGTTTCATTTGGCTGCCAGGTAAAGCAAGTGCAAGTGAAACAGACGCTCATGTCGATACGAGTGAGGTTAACAACACTTTCCGAGTAAATTAGTTTCTAAAGGACAATAGTCCTTTAGAGAACTTGAAGGAAATCGAGAACTTTAGGATCTAACGACCTTCACTACCTGACAACACACAAACCGGAAGAAGCATGACGATGAGACCTATGGTAAGAGGCTCCTTTATGACCCACCTCGACTGTTTTATGATTTGTGAGGATGTGTGGTCGGACCCGAAAAACGCAACAAGAGGCCACTGTTGTTGGCAGGGAGCGTCAGTTGGGTGTAGAGGGATCGGTCTCGTGACGCTCTGATTGACAGTTTCAGGGCTATTATCCACATTGAAAGCAATACATCGGTAACACGTACAGGCGCTTCACTGTTATAAAGTACTTTTACTTGCAAAATTCATTGCTGAAAGTGAGCTGCGATACTGCTAAGACTCCAAAAACTAGGTTGCAGGACGATTGGGTTACTTAACTGGAGCCTTCGACTCAAGCATGACCACAAGGCAGCGCTGGCCGGTGGCTGGAATTTTAAGGAACAAACTACGAAACTCATTCCAATCCACAACCTGGAAGACCGGAAGACTGTCAGGTTCTATCCACTGACCACCATGGTAAGAGAGGTTCTATGGATGTTGAATGGGCGTCTTCCAGTACAGAGCTACGCAAACCAAAGCAGCACGATAAGGCCCAGCCCCTTCGACGTTACCAAGGGACACTGGTAGGCCGACTTGTTTGTGCGGTTGGTGATCATGACCTCAGGCACAGCTGCCATATGATATCCGACAAGGCATCTCGTGGGGAATCAACTAACAAACCGACACAACTAAGTCCACTGCACTGCTTCGGCCATGTAGCCTAAACCTTACTTAGCTAGCCGGCGACTATTCATCCTATAGGTGTAAAAAGGCACCGCATCGGCATACTGTGACGTGGTAGAAGATATTAATTCCACTGGTGCATAGAAGAGTAGGAGGCTGAAAACTCATCCAGTGGGTGGCTGGAGAGGTTCACGAATATGGTCCAATCAAGAAACAAGCGAGGCTAATCGATTCACTCCACTTATAAGGTTTCTTCAGTTTCTAACGGTGTCATTACGCTTTCACAGGTCTCTTTTGTGGCAGCGTTGAAAAGAGGACGGAAAATAGACATTCTGATAAGTTACGAGATAAGATAGTCACAAATGTCAAACTATCAGTTTACTTCTCGAGCAGACGGATATGAATGTGACGTTGTCGTTTGGTTATCTTGATTGTGCCGCAACTAACTGAATCCTAAACAGGTACCTCAGTTCAGAGTGACCTACGCAAGTCACAGAATAATAGCAGACCATTGACAAATACTATCATTTACATAGGAATTTGGTTTGGACAGAAGACTCAACTGTATCCAGCTGAATTTCTCGTTTATGATGGCCCGCTTCAACTGGATGTACTGCACCAAGCCCCCTCATGTTTCAGTTGCACGACATTTGAGATATCGCAAGGCATTGTTGTAGCACACTACTCATAAAGTTGCTGAAAACCGCTCGATAGCCCAGGACCGGTTTCGTACTTCCACTTCGGGCTTATCAGACAGGCACGGTCCCACAAACCTTTACTTCTACTTGAACCCATATTGGTTAGATTTCAAAAAATACTCCCATTCGCACATGAACTTGGCTTTGGCAAGAGACGCAACTGTGAACCCACCAGAAACCCGTCCACCCTCCTCGGTTCTGACTGACTCAAGCAGGTCATTTCAGTAGTGAAGAACCGAGAGGGAAATGACTGGCAATGTACTATAAACTGTCTCAATATCCAGACAGCAGATAGACCAAGTACTATGAATTACGAAAAAAGCAACCGATACCAGTAAAAAGATGAATGCAAGCTTGCAACTAAGGTATCGTGTTCACGGTAGTCAATGCCGCCATGTGTTTCACGGTTCCTAAGTATACAGCACAAGTATCGTTCAGCTGTAGCAGCATTCCGGTGCCCAACTGCCATGCTACCCGAAGGAAGCACGAGGGCGGGGATACTGCCAGGTTGCCCAAGCTTGGGCAGGGGAAGTCGAGAGGCGGAGGTCGGGTTCGAACCACGGACCTTCGGTCAGTAAATTCGTGCCCTAACCACTTGGGGCGTCCCAGCACACGTATTCCGGTATCAGATAGGGTAATTCAAGAAGCAACACAGTAAATTGCTCTGGCAGTTGAGTACAGATGCAAAAGGAGGTTTGGTAGCGTAAACTGGAGTAAAAGTATGACACATGCTCAGATAATTTTGATTATCTACCTGCTATTAATAAACATTAAAAAAGTGAAGAGGAATTTGTAGAACCCACGAAGCATAGTAAAGTTAAGGGGTAAAGTCATGGCGGTCAATGTTACTTTTGAGAAGTCGTTAGAAGCACCCATAAAAACTCAAACCACGGAGAGGATTAGCGGCCCACCTCTGGAAAGTCATCAACATCATTGCTAGCTGTAATAACCGCGTACTCGTCTTACAGTGGTTGTAGCTGCCGCAGTTTCGTTCACCGATGATTCGGGGAGGTGGAGTGGGTGCGCATTGCAGGCGGGAGATGATAAATTGGTGCACGAACCCAGCACTGTCAGTGGCCTGTCAAATGGGGGGATTGGGAAGGGAGTTACGCATTGAAGGCAATAGCTTGAATGCACGAGCGCCATTGAGGGCGCAGATGGACCATGTCTGACACTGTCTCTTACCACTGATATGGACTTTCTCGGGGTCCCCATCCAGGAAGATGGTATGACCAGCGTAGGTGAGTTTGCTGGCCAATTTTTGTGTTCTCCCCGGTACTGAATAAAAGCCGCCCACTACAATCAATGCCGTTTGCCTCCACAGAGGAACGACAGTCATTTTGCAGCAGGGTTCACTAGCTTGACATTAACCACTGAACTGAGTCGGGTCGAAAAACTGCCGTTTCCCTGGATGGGGACTCCAAGACTCAAATCACCAATGGTTAATGACAATAGCAGAAATGGCCTAATCGCGTGATCGTTGGCGCTCATGCATCAAAAATATCGCCTTCAATGCATAGGTAACCGCTTCCCGAAATAAATAAACATGCCATCGCCCCCAAGCCTCCCACACTCTTCCAACTCTCGGTGATGGAAACTGTAGTAGCTGAAACCAATGTGCCCACAGTACACGGTTTATGGCTGATGAATTGATCGATTAAACCACTGCACTTGGTCAAAATTATGACAGGGATGTCCAGTTGTTTTTCGTGTCATGCTGTCCTGTATTCGCGTGTGGAAAAGCTGGATATGCGAGCAGCGCTGGCGATTCAATACACCATACATCAACCTGGATGTATCTTTTAGGAGACACAAGTGAATATGTATGTCTGGGTGAACCGCAGAACGCTAGCGGCGTCAAATGTGACATCAACTTCAATAAAAGCCATTATTCAACAGCGAGGAACAAATAGACGCAACGGTCCCTCCCATTTTGCACACTACAGAGCAGTATGGGTCTATCGGAGAACTTACTTTCTCCGTCCAATTGTGGCGGCCTGTAGCACAACCGATTTGTTCCATGAAGGACTCAAATTCGCTGGTTTTGCGGTTACAGCAGGTCCAGTATTTCATCCTGTAGAACATAAAAAATATTTCGGAATGATAAAAAACACTGGGAGCTGTTTCAAATGGACCGAATCACCTTATTACCCAGCAGTTGAATTCAAAGTATCGCTGGAGACTACAGGGTTATGTGGATTGGAATGTTCTATATAACACTGATAATAATAACAACAATAGCAATAATAATAATCGTCCAACTGTAACACCATTTCGGTGCCCAGCCGCCATGGCGCCTGAAGGAAGCACGAGAGTTGCGGTTAAGCCAGGTTGTCTAGACAGGGGAGGCCGAGAGACAGAGGTTGAGTTTAAACCATGGGTCTTTCGGTCAGCAGATTCGTGCTCCAACTACTGAGCCATCTCGCCTCCTATAGTTGCTCGGCGTTCAGCCATCTACCTATTGTTGATCACGGCACACGTTTGACCACCTTCAGAGAGTCAAAAGTTGCTGGATAAAGTTTACGACGCAGGACCACTGCGGTAAAAGTAGCATGATGCGCCATTCCCGACAGTTTGCTGATGGAGTATTTCGACCCGAGCCAAATACTGTCAACAGGTGTGTCGAAAGAGCATTTGTGCGTCGGAAGGATTCAGACTTCGAAAAGGGAGTTCTTAGGAGGGACCACCCTACTCTATTGGCTGTGTGAGTTCTAACTCATACTCGTCAGCCACTACTATGTTCATTGGGAAGCCGAATTGAGTAAGGCGGAATTAAAAACCAATAATCATGGCAGTCGTGAGACCCATCAACATAATGCGGTATCGTACGTATACAGTTAGGTAAGTGGTACCGCTGTTGGCGTCAAGCTGTGGCATACATTTGTCCAAGTAAGAGGATGCCTCAACAAGTCATAAAAAGATGCGGAAATAGCGCACCCAGAAAAAAAACAAAGTTGAAATGATTCAATGACACGCACGTGCAATTAAGACGCTCTACTTCATGTGCTTAAGGAGCGCGTTTGATAGTCAGTAAGAAATTAGTTCAGTGGATCTGGACTCGGTATCATCGTCGACAGCATAATATCAGTGCCCAACACTGCCGTAGTTGTTGCAAGAAGCAAAATAATGACATCGGGATCACCTCAAAAGTAGCGATGTAGACAACTTTTGAGATGTTAGAAAAGCTAAAACCTGGCGCTGTGATGTATTTGTTTCACTGAAAATTCTGACGAGAAACGAACCTACCCTTCGTGGAATATGGGAACTCCTGGATGATACAAACACAAGTCGTTGTCCGCCGCCGTGCCCGAATAGGTCTGAAACACAAGAGATGTTGCCGGATAACACTCAGTAGAAATCATCCAGAATGTCAATGCGATGGAGTTTTGAGCCTTCAAATCTGGATTTGAACTTGGAAGGTCAAGTTAAACTTGCAACTACCAGCGGACATTTTCTATGAAAATCATGACTTATTATCATAGAAACGCGCTTCCTCAGTGTGAATGAAGGTAGTGTTATAAAGAATGGAGGCGCTAACGTCCACAATGATACACTGATGATTCTATCGAGAATCACACAAGCAAAACGAGCCATCTAACCGCAATTCGCGGGAAGTCGACAGGATTGAAATCTGAAGTCACTGTGCTGAAAGTCCGAGAAACAGAATGTAGTAACGGTGTTTTCCTCAGCTTAGTTCTCGGTCTCAGCCTCCCAAGCGTTCACGTCAAAACAACCACCAAAGGTGCACAATGTCCAAAACGAAGTCAGGGACAGTTGTACAGCACTCCGTATATATAGCGTAGGCGGGTAAAAATTTCTGGAATTTCTGACGCGTTCTGGATGCGCCATCGGTAACCGGCATTTGGTCAATACTGGGTCATGATCGGCTGTTGGGTCCAGATTCTCGGCCAATCAGAACTCATCTTGATGCCGGACCGGCAAGCGTACCGAACTCTTGTCCAGTCTCCTGCGGGCTAGGGTTATCGGTCGTAGCAGCGTCTGAAGACGTGCGGTATAACGAGATCCGTGTGGAATCCTGCCTAAAAGTGTACAATTCTTTCATCTTTGTTGGGAGTCATCAACATATCTCGCGAGGCCCGAGAATAGAAGAGCGTGGGTTAACCATACTACTGATTAGCCTCGCGTGGTTGAATAGTTTAAGCGGAAAGGGTACAAAGGTACAAATCACCCGAGAGACTAACGGAGTGCGCGTTGGTAATGAATTCCCAAAAGAATTAAACAAGCGTACATTGTTTCTCGGTTTCCCAGGATACAGTGACGCGGGCTGAATGGTCAGTTGAGTCTAGTTACTATCACGCAACAAAGCAGGATCATCATCATCATCGACAGCATGACATCAGTGTTCAACACCGATGCTTCACTGCCGTACTCAAAGCAGGATAAAACTGGTTCAACTGCACATACCAGGAGAAGAATATCAGTCCACAAGTTGGGTAAACGAATACGTCTTTTCAACAACCTGACAGACTGTTTTCCACATTACGCTAGCTGGCTGCATAACCTCGTTTAAAAAAGGCACGCGCATTATCCAAACGCATTGGCTAAGTACCGGTTGCAACTGCAGACATATCTTATTGGTGATAGTACTAGAGGAACGGCGATTTGTGCGCAAGATACGAATCCTGTCAACCCATCAATGACTGGCCATCTCTTGAGTAAGGGGGTCACCGCTATTACCGCTTTTGCTTTCTCTCTCAGGAAGAGTCACCAGCCACAATCTAGTGTGGGACCCTCCATACTCAAAGGGAAGCTAAATGTCCCTTGTCACAGAGGTGGTGGAATTATGTGCTGGGCATAGTTACTGCTGTCCACGAAGATCTTATTTGATTGGGTCACACACTCCGTTCTCTAATCGAGAAACAGTGCCAACTTGGTCGTGTGAATGAATATGTCACAAGTACCTGAAGCTTCCAGAAGTAACCGATTCCAAATGCAGTTAAAAGGCGTTCGGTTGGCACCTGGCATCACATCATAGGGAATGACGCACTCATCGGTTAGCAACACTTCCCAGATTCTCATGGCCAAAGGAAGTGGCGGTTCAAAAACGGTTTGAATAAAGACGACTGCGGATACGCAGGTTACCACGGGTACAGCATTCCGCCTAAAAATGCATACGACCTGTATACATAGCAGAACAAGGTGCTCATGGCCTACGACTGCCACTGCACGACGCAAAAACTACCCATATGCAAAACGTTTGAAAGTGAATCAGTAGGGCGCGGTACGAATATAACTAGTGCAATTTTCAACCACTGGGTGGCGACATTTGGTTTTATAATGAATAAAACTGACCATGGTAAGAACAACGAACACCGTGGAGTCGTTTGAACCAATTTAACGACAATGTAAGTGAACGCAAACCATCAGCCCAAACGAAGACAAGTTACAATTCCGAGGAGAGCTAGATCACATGAAGCAGTGTATATAAAACTATAAAACGTAAGTTCAACATGGAGGTACGTAGACCACATGAGCGATATGAACACGGTAGACTCAGTGCCTCCGTCAGTAAACAAAAACGACATGTGAGCAAATGATGTAGAAAACAAGCCACATCGCATGACAAGTGTCACTTGCGGAGTACGGATACAAGACTTACAGCTTTGCATCCACTATTTTTGCAACTGGTTCCCACAACAACGTTGACTGAAACAAAAAGCAGAATGAGAATAAAATGGTTATTCGCTCAGAGCTGAGTTAGCATGCTGTAAAAAGGCGCCTAGCCGCCATGCAACCGGAAGGAAGCATGAGGGCTGGGATACTGCAAGGTTGTCAAAGCCTAGACAGGGGAAGTCAAGAGGCAGAGGTCGGGTTCGAAACACGGACCTTCCGGTCAGTAAATTCGCGCTCTAACCACTGAGCCACCTCTCCCTAAAAAAGGATAATCAAGCAGGAGTGAAAAATGCTTTGTTCTAATCTTGCCTCTACACTTTCTTCACGTTGAACAACTTCGCACTTTCACCGATAGAGAAATTTAACATGTCTCGAGGGGTGTAAGCGCTTTGAGTTCGCCGCCACAGATTGAGCCCCAGGACACCGAGATACTTTCGGATTCTCCTAATGAAAAAAGTTTAACGCAGAAGTATTTCTCACAGAGACTACTCAGAAGCTCTGCGTAACAGGCCTACTTCCATAGGAGTCGAGAACAGAAAAACCTCAAAGTATTAAGGTGATGCATCACTGAAAAAGCCTCAATAATTACGAATAAAACGCGCATGAGATGCAGGTGGCAATACTACCATCCTCTCCTAAAAAAGGATAATCAAGCAGGAGTGAAAAATGCTTTGTTCTAATCTTGCCTCTACACTTTCTTCACGTTGAACAACTTCGCACTTTCACCGATAGAGAAATTTAACATGTCTCGAGGGGTGTAAGCGCTTTGAGTTCGCCGCCACAGATTGAGCCCCAGGACACCGAGATACTTTCGGATTCTCCTAATGAAAAAAGTTTAACGCAGAAGTATTTCTCACAGAGACTACTCAGAAGCTCTGCGTAACAGGCCTACTTCCATAGGAGTCGAGAACAGAAAAACCTCAAAGTATTAAGGTGATGCATCACTGAAAAAGCCTCAATAATTACGAATAAAACGCGCATGAGATGCAGGTGGCAATACTACCATATCTTCCAGAAAGGCGGCCAACTTGTGGTTAAATGCCATCCTGTCGGAAGGATTCTCTTGTAAACATAAGTGCGTAGTACATCCTCAATTCTCAACCGGCTGTTGAGTGTTGCACTTCAACACACTGGTGCTGAACAGTGGCAAAATTAACCTTGACCCAGCGAGACGGCTCGTATACATTCTTTGTCACTCCTCACGGCCCGTACTTCCCCCATTTACAGATTTATGTGAAGAAACCATAGTGACAACCATACAAACAGAGACACAGGTCGTACTTTTTCTCGACAGTCAACGACCAACCGCAACAAATGCTTGAATGCCACTCAGTGGTAGGGCTGGCAGCTTTAAACATCCATACAGCGGACAAAAGAGGCACCGATCTGTACATGAACAGTATCCTCATCAGTAGCAGCTTCCAAATGCTTCGTTGTCATGTTCTTCAGAAATTACGATCAACTAACTGATTAAAACACAGTCTAAACAGCTCGGCAATGAGCCTCGTGCGTGGCTGATCTGAGGTGAAAATATCAGGCGAGTGAGCAGTCTCGTACCGTAAACTTCACTTCAATGATAACCCGGGTATGTATTTGGTTACGCACCGCTCCACAAAACCACAAGTACCTAATAACTCGACAACTACCTTCACTTATTTAATGTCTACACCCGGAACTCTAGCACCAACGACACATGCAGCGAAAACGATGCATACTCCTTTCAACCGGCAACAAGCTCAGTGTGGCGAAATGACTAGCTTCGGGAAACCCGTATTAGCAACGCGAACAACTTCATGTCACGTGATTTCCTAGTTGATTGGCTGTATCTTCACACGATCCAGTTTCGCTTGCTCGAGCTGTAATCTTCCCATAGCTTCTCCAATGGTATGAAACGGGTGCTATCGGTAAAGTCGTTCCTGTGACCAGTATATCTGTCCTCTACACCTCAACATCAATAGATTTGCAGGTTCACTTATTTGAAGTTTCATCTTTTGCGGTCTGGGTTGAATAACTGTGGAATAAGTTGGGGAAAGTGTTTGATTATGAAGTTTACCTGGGATGCCTCGACCCCCGGGTTTCTTGTGGGTTGAGCGAAGTTCCGTTCGCATGGTAAATAACAACACCGTACTCCCATCTGATCGTTGTAACCAACTGCAATTTCTCCCCAAAAGCCTTATTGTCGAAAAAAGACTCACAAACAAGAAACACAGCAGTTTCATTGCGACCAAGCAAGTGGCTCTGGTAAGATTGCTGAAGGGCGAGTTCAAGCTTCTTCTAAACAGCACAACTAAAGTCTATCTAGAGTGCATGGAACAGGACTCGGCTCAAACAGTGGCGTTGATCTATCCAGTCTACATTGTCGCCTTGGGTAGCGCCAGTATAGATCAAAATAAAATCCATATAACTGAGTGCATTCACCAATTAAGGTGTGACCCCATTTCCTCATCAAGATTTCTAATTCGGGTAAGGAGTAAAATGGTTAACGCACAGATTATCACCTTGATTTGTGAAGTAATGGAAGACAGGTGGCGTGGACGGTTGAAGTTAAAAGAAGCGTCACTTAAACCGCGCTGAAAAAGCCCACTATTGATAGCGTTTGTGAAAAGACATTGTTGACAAGAACAGGGTTACCTTCTCTAACAGAGTGCAGGTGTAAAAGCTAACAGTGAAGGGAAGAAGGCCTCCGCTGCGGAATTATCAGTTAGAAAATGCCAAATGACCAGTTACAGACTAATTAGACAGGAAAGCAAAACTCTCACATGCATCTTGTTCACAAAAACTGAAGATCCATCTTCTCTTGAAAGCGTCTTCCTGAACTTTCTTGAAAATCCGTTGCTCAAGTGCAAGCAAATGCGATAAAGCACCCCCACAAATTCCGCAATAGATCTCCCTTTTCAAGAGATGCAAAGCGAATTTACAAGAAAACATACTACTCGCATGCCTCTCCATCAGTAGTATTACGGTTACGAAAGTAATGGCGATGGATCGGATACAAAATACCCACGAACAGTCGATCGAGTAGAGAACATAACGTTCAATATTAGGAGCGTTGTTTCAGATACTTCACTCAGTCGTGTTTTCTCTCTCTCTCTCTCTCTCTCTCTCTCTCTCTCTCTCTCTCTCTCTCAAGCTACTGTTCAAATATTCTCTGGTTGGTTCAGATCAATACACAGAGTTGCGACAAGGGAGCTATGCCACCCAACCATCCTCAGCGAGGGAGCGAAGATGGCACTTTCGCTGTGGATAAACACTGAATTCTCATCGACAGGGGGGAGACAACGTTGGTTTGACGATTTCTACCAAAAATTGAGTGTTGGTGCAATAAAATATCCATCTACATATATCATTTCCGATGTGCCAGACGCCTATCCACGAAGAGAGCTAACCGTTAAGGCCTAGAAGCATAAGAACTTTCCTAAAAAACTTTCCTAAAAACTAAAAAACTTTCCTAAAACTTTCCTAAAAAATTTTCCTATTTACGGTGAAGTGGTGGTTAGTACTTTGCATAAAAGTTCGACGTCGGAGTGTACTTGAAGCTAATCTGACATGGACTGGAAAGTGTGCAAGGAATAGATAGAAAGTCAGACAGGCCGGTGGTGTACGCTTATGAATGGGAAGGGTGATTGATGTACAGGTATAGAAAGAAAAGAAAGCGTTCAGCTGTAGCACCCTTCCGGTGCCTAACTGCCATGCCACCCGAAGGAAGCACGAGGGCTGGGATACTGCCAGGTTGCCCAAGCCTAGACAGGGAAAGTCGAGGAGCGGAGGTCGGATTCGAACCACGGACCTTCCGGTCAGTAAATTCGCGCTCTAACCACTTAGGCTATCTCGCCCCCCAGGAATGAGTAATACTTATCGGGCGATCAGATTGAAGAGGACATGTTTTTGATACATGCCGTGAGTGCTTCATGCACAAATGTGAATCAGTTGGAAGTGAAACAAAAAAGACCACTGAAATCTGATTCTTATGATTGACAGACTGAATTCTCCAGAGGAGAACGTCGAAGAGAGATCAGACCTCAGAATCTACATCGAGCGTCTGCCGCACTATCCAGAGAAGCCATCCGCACTTCCTTGGAGAGTTCAGGATTTTGTTCCTCAAGAAGTACTTCTGTCCCCTTGAGATAACTCATGGATCTGGCCACTAATCAAGACAGAGTATAAGCTGACAGGGTTATTCTGAACGACATGAGTCATCGGTCATGCGTTTCCAAACTGTTTGAAATTTGCTTGACTTAGTACCTTAGTTGAACAGATCCGAATTCAAGATCGTCAAGATATTATAAGCAGGCGCAATATACTGAGCTTAAACGCACTGCGACAGAGAAAGTCGAGCTCAGCCTTTTCCTCTTAAGTACTTCTTTGGTATCGTGCCTTTTTGTGGTCGTAATCATCCAATTGTAAACGCCTTTTCGGTGCTTAGCTGCCAAGCCACCCGAAGGAAGCACGAGGTCTGAGATACTACTAGTTTACCCAAGCCAAGTTAGGAGCAGTCGAGATGCCGGGGTCAGATTCGAACCATGGACCTCCCAGTCAGTAAGTTCACGCCTTAACCGCCGAGCTATCTCGAGAACCACGCTTTGTGTGACGATACGTGTATACACCAGCTAGTCAATTTAAAGGATGCTGTAGCGAAAGTTGGCGAAAACAGAATACAAGAAAATGAGGAGTTAAGTAAAGGAAACTGCTCACAAGGTTGTTGACAGCCCACGATCGGTTTCCCCTTCTTGGGGCTCATCAGTTAGGCACAGCCCCGAGTTTCCGTCAACTTGATGTTCTACTTGAACCCAAATTGGACTGTTTTCGAGAAATACACTCATTTGCAAATCAATCTGGTTTTCACGAGAGACTCAACTGTATCTCTCGTTTCTGATATTCTACAACTGAATGTGCTGCGACATCTCGAATATCGTGCCAACTGATTCATGAGGCGGCCTATGTGCAGCACATTCAGTTGTAGAATATCATAAACGAGAGATTCAGTTGAGTCTCTCGTGAAAACCAAACTGATTTGCAAATGAGTGTATTTCTCGAGGATTTATGTACATTTGGGTACATTTTCAGTACACCTGTTCTCGGACAGGTGAGTGAAACTGACGCTGCAAAATATGGTATATGGAGGAAATGTCGCCTTGAAACTAAGTAATTTTTTGTGTTCGAGGACGGCTACTTGAACGCACTTCCACAGAAGGAACAAACGGATGGAAAGAGTATGATCGAGGGCGTCGAAAGACAAACTTGAGTGTCCAATACATATTGTTTCGAGTTTCTTCCGAAAAATGTGTACGGCTCTTACTAAAACCAAACAACTGGGCGATCAAAATACATACATAAGCCTTGATCTGATACTAAAGTGAGTGACAGGTTGTAAAACGTGGATGTCAGATCCACATCAAACAGACCGTAATCACTGCAGTGAATGTCCGTCAGCAACTAAACCAGACTATAAACTGCCGAACATGCAAACACTGAAGAAATAGCTATTTTCATGATAACTATGCACCACTGGGTGAGTTACCGTCATGAGTCGATGCCCACTTCAGATCACATCACACGCACTGAGATGGATTCGGGAGCTGATGGGACAAAACTAAAAAAACGTGGACAGAAGCTAACTAGCACACCGAACAATCAAGGCGACAGTCAAGGTATCGCGTGGACCGGGGGAGATTAATGAGAGTTACACCGTATTGACAAGGGTGGTGAATCAAGCAAAGGAACATTGAGCAGTCTATTGAAACATTCCCGTAAGGTACAGCAATTTTTCGGAACTTTCAAAAACCTGAATGCATAAACTCTGGAAATAGAGATAGCTCAGGGCGCGAAATTATTTTGACCGGAAGGTCGGTGGTTCGAATCCACCCTCCGGCAACTTAACTGCTTCTGTCTAGGTTTGGGTAAATTGAAAGTATATAAGCCCTTGCATATCCTCCGGGTAACATGGTAGCTAGGCCCCAAAAGTGTGCAACGATTGAACTTTTACCATTTTATTTTTGGAGACACCCACTCCAAAGTAGGACCAGAATGTTCCCTTTAGCTCCTCCTCGGGGAATAAATGCAATTTTGGTGCACGCCGGGTTCTTTGTGTTTTTCTTTGCCAAAAGATGCACAACTTTGCTGATGAATTTTGGCAATTGGATCGGGTTCCTACAGTCGACTCATTCAAAAACAGACCTCTTTTTTTTTGTAAGTAGAAATAATGGCTTTAAGTGAGTGAAGCAATGTTCTTATATTGAGAGGATCACCCTAGAGGCTTCACACTTTTGTCATTGGGGACAGTGTGACTTTATCAAGCAAAACGGTTTGCCATGAAGCGCCGCACACTAGTTTATCTCAAATTACCTTGCAGAATAAAATTACCGTCCATGAACACCAAGGCAAGTTTTCAACTGTTGACTAAACAAACACCAGCGGTACATACATTGAAAAAAAACAAGACACTGGCGTACCTGTATCCTCCTCGACAGCACCAGTACCGTGAGCGTCCGATTTGTGTTCAATAGACATTTTGCTCAGTAAGGTTTTCAAACTAGGTGTGACTTCTACGGATAGTTGACACATGGGTTCCGAAGGAGACGGCCGAGGTTGTGAGTTGCTGACTGGTGGAAGAGGAGCAGGGGCGGCAGGAGTAAGCGGTACGGAGGAAAGTTCCGCAGAATCCTTGATAAAGCGAACAGGAGAACAATAGGTACCGGATGAACCTCAAAAATATCCTCGGCTCGCGTGCCGCAAGTAAAGAACCTAACTTAACATGCTAGGCTATATCATTCACAAGAGGGAACAGGCGACAAAAGTTAGGGAAACTTTTCACCGAAATAATGCTAGTTTTGAAAACCTAGCAGCCATAACCCCAAAGTAAGGCAAACAGCAAGAACGCTCAGCACAGTATTCCTCATCCCATATATCACCAATCAGCCGCTGTAAATACATCCAACAACAGCACCGTTATCGACGACACCAGATGAGAACACTGGTGCTTCGCTCTCATGAAGCCCTACAATCTGAAAAAAACATCGGGAAAGGCGGAGAGACCGCACTGGAGCTCAACGGATAAACATGGACAGCCAAACCAGCGCACCTTCTTGAATCAAGCATTGTGCAACGAGGTTTGTAGTGCATGTAATTTGATCCAAAAAACACGTAATTTTCGCAACTTTAGACAGCAACGCCGGATACTGGTAATTCACTGCCATACACTCATGCCAGTTTATTTAAATAAAAACCTATCATGGAAATGAAAAAATACCGAGGCAGGGGGAGCACCAGGGACAGTCTACCACAAACACTCAAGACATCTGCACCTCCGATACTCAGCCAGACAATCTGAACGGAAGCCGACAGAAACGTCATTGACATCTGTTAGCTGACATACCATGCAGCCAGGCAGGCACAGAAATAATCACGTAGACCCCATTCTGGAAGGCGAACACAACCAACGGCACCCGAAATTTTCCAAACATCCTTCATTCCCTTCTATCATGTTATATTCTGTCCACCTACAGGTTCCCGCCACTCAGAAATAGGCAGTAACTCGTAACACATGGCCCACCCATTTAAGCCTTTTTCCTTTTAGCCTGCAATGCTGAATGCATTCTTCCTCTACCACATAGAGAATCTGTCCCCTAATAACCTCACTGCGAATCCACCGGTTCCAGCAAACTCCAGCCACACCTCTGAGACACTGGTGGTCAAAGGCCTGAAAATGTTCCATGTCATCCAGTGCGAAGCGGCCAATTCTCGTACAACAATACAGCCCGTACTGTACAGCCGCCTCTCGAAAAAATGGTCCAGCTGTAACATCCTTTCGGCGCCTAGCTGCTATGCCACCCTAATGAAACACGAGGGCTGGGATACTGCCAGGTTGCCCAAGTCTAAACACGGATAGTCGAGCGGGAGGGGTCGGGTTCGAACCACGGAATTTCCGGTCAGTAAATTCGCGCTTTAACTACTGAGTCATCCTCCTTACGGAATCCGATCATATGCCTTTTCGATGCCACAAGTCGCAAGGACTAGTCCCCGAGATTCGCGCGTTCACTTCGTCTGTCACACAACCATCAGACCTCATGCAAAATCCAAGATACGCGTAGGGTTCCACAACCACCAGTGTCACTCCTACAACTCTCAAAGGAATGTTTAAAAACGTTACGCTCTGCAGCATGACTATAACAGTGCGAAGAACATGCCGGAAGACTGGATGACCTTGACCTACTTTTCAAGCAGTTCTTGCGCTTCCCGCTGTTTCAAGATGAGAAAAATGTCATCTGTATATTCTAGGTCAGCAAGGTTCTCGTTCGGGGAGATGTAAACACAGGAGGTTTGGAGATCTAGTATTCGCCTAGTCATCTCAACAACTAAATTAGACAAATCTGGATAGAGTGGACAGCCTTGTGCAACACCACAACTTGTGGGGAAACTCTTAAAGAGCTCCTAAGGCACATTCTCGCGCCCACAAGTTCGTGAAGATAAACAACCCGTACTTGAGTCAGAGACAGCACACACCAATGGAAAGCGAGTCCACCGTACATACAAAAGCAGCCTGTTGCTCAGCCTGTTTTAGAGTGTTGAAATTAAAAGCTGTCAGAAGAACCGAGCGACAGGTTTTGACGAACAGTTTCGAAGTGTCTGTGGCCACGTAAACTGTAGACATTGCAGCTAATGGCTACGAGAGCCGAGTGGATCTGTCAGTCCTTAAGAACGGGTCTGTGTAAATGTAGCTAGCAACGGAGTAGGGAGAAGATGACTAAATATGTGAAAGAGGAAGAAGAGAAGCGTCAGTAGTGGTATGTTCTCGCTTACCCGTCCCATTGTAGGCAGCAAGTGAACCGAGCTGGCTGATGGCGCCACGCGATGGCCGGTGTTATATGACATTATTTTTAAGTGTGCAACTCATTGCCCTACGTGGGTTGGAATAGTGCCGAGGCGTCCGGACCTAGATAGGAGGACGCTAGGGTCCTAGGCACGGAAGCTTAACTACAAGGCGGTGGTGGTTGGTGTAAGACTCGAAGCAGCCTATTTTTAAGGAGCGAGTCGCCGCACATGAACAGATTCAGTGTCAGAAGACGACAATTCTGCTCGTCAGTTTTGGTAAAATGATGAACTAAGATTAACCTGTTGAGTTCGCCGAATTCACACAACCACGATTGAGCTGGACGTGCACGATCACGTTTTCAAGCTACCCCATTGAAGCCGATCACATGACAACTACTGTCATCCCCATCGTAATCAACATAACTGTTTTATCAATAAGGGTTAAGACCGGGTTCGAAGTTGCGTCGTGCCATGCTATCTGACTTGCAAGAATTCACAAAAACAAAAATGACCGCAAGCGCTCACATCATGTGACTTTGAGAACACCAACTGCAAAACAACTCATTTGGACCATGTGGTAATCAGTCCCTGTGGGGAGCTTCGCTACAGGGTAGCTGCTCATTTCGGAAAACTCCAGTGGACGGCATTGTGCAGGCATGCGCATCTGGAACACGTCCGTTAATGCAATGCCATTCAGTTCACCATCTGGAAAGCACCTATATAGTTGAAGCGTTCAGCTGTAGCCCGCAATGCCATTCGGTCCACCATCTGGAAAGCACCTATATAGCTCAACAATATCTGGTTGAGCTGGCTGAGGAGCTCCCAGAACTCGACGGACAATTGGTGATCTGGATGAAAATTAAAGGCGAAAGAAGCCAAGTCCAGAGTTTTGATACGGTCTGCTTGAGGTAATCGCATCGTTGAAGACTCAGTGACACTAGCCCACGCGATCTAAGGTTCTGAAGACGTCTCAATCCCGCCACACGAAGATGCCACGTCTCACAGCGAAACGGCCCGTACTACAGCCTGATACACAAATCCCTTGAGATTCGGAGACATGTCGCTTTGTCGCCATGTGTGTCTCAAATTAGAAAACGCGACCCAAGCCTTACAAATTCGTGCATTGATCCCATCTGTCACACTAAAACCACAATCGATAACACTTATAAGGTACGAAAACAGCCCAACTTCTAAATTGTAAGTGGTGTATTCAGTGACTGCATGTCCAGAAACATCACCTTACACTTAGTGGGTGCAAAGCGCATACCAAACGACTTTGGTCAGTTCATCCAAAACACCCGTTTTTTCCTCCTCGAGGACAAGAACGATATTGTTTGCATACTCCAGATCGACAAGGTTTTCATCAGTAGCTATTTGGATAGCAGGGTTTTAAAGACCTCCCAGCGTTCGTTCCATTATTTCGTCGGTCATGAAATTAAATAGGAATGCGGAGAGTGGGCAAACAATTTATGTCCTGGGGGCTTTTGGAGAGCTCTCCGTATACTCTCACGAGCCCAAAAGTCTAAGCGTACAAGGAGCTCATTACATAAAAAACGGGGCATTCCGGTGCACTGTTTGATGAGTAAGTGTGTTACGAGCAGACCCACCAACTGAAAATCCAGGTATACTAAAGTTGTAGACCGTTTATACGTATAGCGTTGTTCTGGGACCCAACGAAGTGTAAATCTGTAACCAACACAACCCCTACATGACCGGAAACCACTAGTTGCTCTCGAGTCAATGTCTTCCAGGCAACCAAGGAGAAGCGGCCCCATGAGTCTATTACGACAGGAGTCAAGTTGTGACAACCGAATTCAATATAGGCCTACTTTTTGAAAATGGGCACTATCACCGACTCTCTTTCCAGATGTTTGGGACAGCCTCCAATTTATAAATACAGGCAAGCAGATCATACAAGCGCTAACTGAGGACTTCACCCTCATCCTTGAACAATGCGGCTGAGTGGTCATCAGGACCAGGAGTTCGGTGGCGCTCGAGAAAACATATGTGCTTATGAACTTTCGAGGCCACAGGCGGTTTCAGGTTCACCGTTGATCGTGTTACGAGGCGGTCTGGAGGTAAAGTTATATTGCTCTCTGCAAAAGGAACTTCTTCCTCCAATGACCAGCATGTCCAAAATTAAGGAAGCAGCAATGCTCCCTTCACCCGAGGGTAAGAAAAGGTCGGTCCTAAAAACCGTACACTCCAACTGCCCAAAAGTTGACCGTGACCGCCGGTGCATTGTTCAATACAGTGGAAATACTTTTAAAAACCAAAGTGCCTGGTGATGTTCAAAAGGAACCTGCTAGGCACATTTGCATTAGGAGTAAAACAGTAAAGCCTTAATCACTGCGTCCTTGGGCCAGGCCGGCACCCTACAGCCAAGTGGGGCAAACTATTGAGTCATTGTCTCAGGACATAGTTCCTCAAGAAAACCCTAACAACTGCTGTCTCGCGGTTAACTTTTGAGTCAGAGGCGAGGTGTTACAGGTAAACGATGGCGAGGTGGCTCAGCGGATAGAGCGCGAATTTATTGACCGAAGGTCCGTGGTTCAAACCCGATCCCTGCCTACGCTTGGGCAACCTGGCAGTATCCCGGTCCTAGTGCTTCCTTAGGGTGGAACGGCAGCTGGGCACCGAAAGGATGTTACAGCTGAATGATTTATTATATATATATATATATGTATATACATGAAGTACAGGTTAGCTTCGAGTTAATGCACGGAGTTAGAAATCTCGGTTAAAAGCTCGCTGAATTCTAAATATTTAAACACTTGTTTCTTCATGCCCATCCACAGATATTAGCAAATTCGCCGATGAAGGTGAGGTGTTCTTTAAGTATGACCTAGGTTTCCAATTGCGTTTTGGTTATTTTGAGATAGAACACAGTGTAGCAAAACTGGCAGAATTGCGTGGTGACTTGAGAATTCAGTGAGACTTCAGTGTCCATATCTAATCGCCAAATGAAAATGGCTAATTCTGGTGGTTTATAAAAATATTGTGGGTCAGACCTTTGAATCAAAAGCTCAAGGTAAGGTACCTAAACCAAACCACCTTCCTCGGTTCGGGAAACCGAGAGGTATCATGCGCCTTTGAAACTCTTCGCTCACCGGTCTTCTCCTACACCCTTTCCACATCCGTCGAACAGTGTCACCAACCTGTCAATCCCCCAGGCCGCTGTTGCGTGTCTAAACCATCACGCAGAAGAATAAACCAAAATAATCACTAACCTCAAAAGATCTGATCCACGTTGAGGCCTGTAACGTCCGTACTCTGAAATCAAATTGGGCAACATGCATCCCTTGCTGAAACCTTGCTTTCCCCATCTATCGATGTACGTTGTGTCCCTGAAAAAGGAATACAAGACCCCACTTCGTTCGTGCATCTCAAGCCGCTTACGATCAGCTCAGGTGTTCCACATTTCACTCACATTTCCGGTGATGCTGGTGCAATTTCTCGTGGTATCCACAGTGCGGGAGGTGCACTCAGCCCCAAGACTGAAAGCGTCTTACTGGACTGGATCCCAGTAAGCAGTCACCTTTACACTGTGCGGTTATTTGACTCAATTAAGATTAACGCAGGTCGATGTGGTAAACGGTATTTGTCTGTCCTATCAACATACGCCCCAACAGACTGCAGTTCTGAGACTGAGAAGGATCGGTTTTATCAGGATCTGTCATGACTGCTTCGGTCGGCAAGAACGACGTCTGGCAGGTGATATGAATACCCAAGTTGGACGAATAAGACTAAGAAGCACATTTGGGTGGTAGATTTGGGGTAGATGCTGAGCGTACGGATGTTAGGGAGCGACATCTTCAGTTGTGTGCAGATAATCATCTGCTCATGGCCAGTAAGAACTTCCAACACAAACGCTCACACCGAATATCTTGGATGCCATCTACCACAAGACAGTCGTGGACTCAGTTTGACCATGTGACTATCAATTACCGATGGACAGCCTCAATTAAGGACTGTCGTTTCTTCTGGGGTCGAAACTTGACTTTGATCATGTCGTCATCCGGGCCCGGTTAGCACTTCGCCTTCCGTCAGCATTACGTGTGCCAAAGGAAGGCAGCTACGATCATCCACTTCACTAGGTCCAGTACATCAAAAGTATCCAGCTGATCGGGCTAGAAAGCTACGGGAAACGCGGAGTCATGCGGATGACGAAGATTGTTTGGAAGTTGAATGGAAGCGGGTTAAAGAAGCTAGGCTCTTAGCTTTCAGGACTGCTTGTCCAGACTATCTGACTCGACCGAATAAACACTGCATATCGTTGAGATCAGCAAATATTATTGCCGCCCAAAAGGCCACACCAACAACTAGCGACTGTGATGGCGCACGCAGATCCCTCAGACACCGCATAACCAGGAGTCCGAAGAATGACAGAACGCTGGTGGATTTCAAAGTCCCAGGAGATGGAGAAGCCTTTCGCTTCAAGCAACATCGGCGCCGTGTTTCAACCGATTGGATCAACCAGTCAAAAGAAGGCAGGTGTCAGTGAAACGATATGCAAAAAAAGAGGGAACACCGATTCATTCCACCCATCTCCGTCTTGAGCACTGGGCTGAGCTTTTCAACAAACAGTTCAGCTGGTCTCCTTCAGCACAACCGCTGTAAGAACCCAGTGGGTCTGAATGGAACATTCAAACCAACCCACCATCAGCAACCAGCGTGAGATATCGATCCTGAAGCTCGACAAGACACATGGCCCGGATGGTCTATACCTCACACTCATCAAAGGTGACTAGGTCTGGAGAAGTCTGACAAGCACACTTTAGAAGATTTGGGGCGACAACAGAATACCAGCCGAATGAAGTTCCAGTTCCCAGTTTTCAAAGGGCGCCAGATTTGAAAGCTGCTTTTGATTTTGTCAATCGTCAGCAACTTTGGCAGTGTCCAGCGATCAAACGTTTCCCTTCCAAATGCATTTCCCTTATAAGGGCACTATATGCGGACTCCTGTGCGGGAAGCTCTTGTCTGAATTCACCATGTCCAGTGGTGTAAGACAAAGGTGTTCCCCTTCCCCTTTCCTCTTCAAGTTTGTTACTGATACACTCCTTGAAATTCCTCTGCCTGCCTCTGAAACCTCGGGAGTCGAAAGCTCCCGGGACGATCCGTCACAGATACAGAATATCCAGACGATATTTCTCTCCTTCCCAAATGCAAACGATTTTAAATAACCTAACTGACTTTGCCGCACAGTTTGACATGCGCTTTACACCTGCAGAGTGTAAAGCTCTGCTACAAGAGTGGGTGGGACAAACCCACAACTTATGCTTGCGGGTGAGCCAATCGACGCGGCAGATAAATTTGTTGACCTGAGCAGCTGGATAAGTTCCGGTGGACTGGCTTGAGATTAGGGTATTTTTTTAATCGCGAAAGCCATGGAAGCTTTTGCCTATGGCGACGATGTGACTTGAGTGTATCTGTCAAGGGCAGAGCTTACACAGCGGTGGTGCGATCCATACTGCTTTGTGGGTTAGAAACTTAGCCTCCATGTGCAAAGGGCATGAAATATGCCAGTGCTTGACCGTCGGTGTCTCCGAAGCATTGGTCAGGTCTAATAGGAACATCGGATTAGCAGTGTTGAGGTACGCTGAATGGTCTTGGGAAGAAGGAACTCTCCTGCGATAAATGAATTACTCATGCTTTGTAGGTTACGCTGATTAGGACATGTACTTCGCATGCCAAGAGAAAGTACCCTTACAAAACTCTTCTTGCCCAGCGCTGTACTGAGTGGCAGCGACCGAGAGATGGACAGTGTATTACCTGGCAACAATGTTCAAGCCAGTAAACTTAGCTGGGACGAAAACTGCTGCCTCCTTGAATGGGAACCTCGGGACTCAACTCACCAAAGGTTGGTGATATTGGCAGAAACGGCCCAATGACCCAGCCAATGGTGCTCGTGACTCAAAGCTCTCGGCTTCAGTGCGTGGCTACCCAGTTCCCGAACTAACCAGATGTGCCATCGCCTCCAAGGCTTAGCTGTATGTCTCACTCCCGTTTTCCAGTGATCGAAACTGTAGCGGCTGGAACCCATGACTTATTGTTTATGTTTTATAGCCGATAAATTTTGTGCGCAGCACCACACTCGGGTCCAGGTAAACCACCTGTGGCCTTTGTGCGGACTTCCAGGAGTTTGATCAGCTGGTCGGCATATTTGATTCAGACACCAGCCGCAATACCTACGCATAACTCGGCCACCATGACTGTGGACACTTTGAAATCACCCCTTAAACCGAACACCTGACAACCGTTAAATTTTGCACCTCGAAACAAGCGATCTAAATGATTGTTTCCCCTTGTGCGCTCGTTCAGCTGTAGCACCCTTTCGGTGCCTAACTGCCATGCAAGTTAAAGATTGCAAGAGGGCTGGAATACTGCCAGGATGCCCGAGCCTAGACCGGGAAGTCAAGAGGCAGAAGTGGGGTTCAAACCACGGACCTTCCGGTCATTAAATGCGCGCTTTAACCACTTGGGCCATCTCGCCCCTCCCCTAGTACGACAGATTCACTTTTTTGACGTACTGTCGATCGGATTAATGCGGTCATCAGCCCGAGCGGGCAAGCCAACAAAGTAAATCCTCAACGGTGTACAGTGACGGAAATTCGTAAAAATTTTAGGTGTCAGCCTTAGTACGTTCTCTCGTACCTGCCTTTCTGTATGTAGCAAGTACAGCAACCGGCTTTGGTTACAGGGTGAATTTACTGACCGGAATGTCCGTGGTTTGAACCGGACCTCTGCATTTTGACTTAACCTGGGCAACCTGACAGTATCCCAGCCCTCATGCTACCTTCTGGTGGCACGGCAGCTGCGCCTCTAAAGGGGTTTCACAGCTGACTGATTATCATTCTTATTATCCCAGCCCTCGTGATTCCTTCCCTAGGCACAGAAAGAGTGCCACAGATGAACGACATTTTAGGGCAACCCGTCCGACGATGCCAAGCGAAGGCGAATGTCACACATGATTGGTGTTCATCTGAATCAACACCATAAGCGGGTAGGAATAATTCAAAGGGTCCAAAACCAGATGAGAGTGATCATTTAAAGCCCGTGGCTCAAAAACTTCATGCGGCGAAATGTGCCAGTGAATATTATCGTCTAAGATGATTTCACATACTCCCAGCTGCCAATGACAGACAAATTTGACGCTGAAGAGAACAGGAATGCTGAAAAGTAACCAAAACAAAGTTCACTGGGTGACAGGCAAAGTAAACAGAAGGCCGGTACGAGAACCTCTTCGTAACGGACTCGTGATCAGGCATCACCTTTGAAAGCCACGTCTTCCTAACGGTTTTCACGTTTGATCAAAGTCCTTTAATAGCTAATTCGACCGGATGCACGAACAGAACCCGGCCGCAGAATCATTCCCCGACTAACTTCGGTGGCCAAACGGAACACGACACCAGTCTCCGTGGTCGAACTGAGCCAACGGGAATATTCGACTCCCTAGTATGAAAAATTTTGGAAATAGGTGCGTTCGAAATAGCTAGACCGTGCGGGACAGTGGGGTGAGTAGCGGACTCCATGTCACCGCACCGTCATATCGGCACAAAAATAATCCACCGGTGAAATTCAAGGACACCTACCGTGCCATTGGTTTTGTTTTTTTCTGGCTCAACAGGACGTACATTGGAGTGTTTTCCTTTAGTACACCCTTTAATACTCAAAAATTCCGAGAAGTCCGTACTGAATTTTTTGCAACATGACCATTTCTTCTTCGCATCATGAAATATAGGTTCTCCAGGATGATACTGGCAAGAATCTCGATCTATAAGAGTTTAAATTATTTCGGACTACCTTCAGTATTAGATCCCTCATCATATTTCTGTCCACAGCCCTTATTGTAACACTGCAACAAACCCGTCATGACGGTCGAGGCCGAAGCGCGCGCCCCACACAAGAACTGTGTTCCCGTTGGTTCTGGAGCATTGAAGGTCAGTCCACATCGAAATGGGTTAGGACACCAGCTACTCGGACACAGAATTGAACGGAGGATATCCTGACACTGTAAACTGTTTGTCCGCAATCTTATCCTTGAAGCGAACTTTATAGTAGTTCGGAAGCAAATAAGTTCAGCGCAGAAGTACGTGTCCAATACGCGGACTAATCAGAGTATCTTGAAGCCCTGTGAATAAAATGAGAGGAGATGCGTCAAATCACGGAGAAAGCTTTTAAATGTTTTTTTCGGTTATGTGAGAAGACAAAACTTGAAAACGGTCAGATACCAAGTCCATTCGGTATCCAGCTTGGCAGTTTCCTCCGGTGCATCCTCAGCATGCGCGACAATGGCGTTCACTGGTTCTCCCACGAACGACATACGGGCACACTTTTCACCACTCTGAGAAGGGCGCCTGATCATTATCTACTTCTTTGTGGTTTTGACATCCATTTGAAGGGGCCCGACGTTTAAACACTAACATTTAGACCACCCGCAAAAATTTGACATGGAAGTGCCTGCACGTCCCCAATGTCGTGAACCAGAAGTGAAGTGGTCCAAGGACATACCTTTGAGAACTTCCAATGAAGATCAATCCGGAAGAGTGAATCGATCAGTCTTTTACCCAGAATTTGTTCTGAGATGAAATCCTTAATTCAGAGGAGATCTCACACCTGAATTACATGAGTTTCCCCTTTGTGGATTACTGGAATACGTGCACTCGATCATATTTTTTGAATTCAAAACATGGCGTCGGGGTTGGGCCCCTCGGCTTCAGCTTGTGTTAGGCTTTCCACGAATGCAAACACGTGGTCCACTCAAGAACGATTCTTAGGGATTCGTTTGGTGCGGCCTATACTGAATGTTAAGTACCAGGGTGATTTAGAGGGGCCCGATACATAGTGCATTCCACTTGCACGATACGACAATGTGGTTAATAGTCCCATATTTGCCAAACGATATGCGGCTACCAGGCTTGCATGCTAGCTTAACGGTAGTTCTTTTCCAAGCAGGAGAAAGCGATGGACGTGCGAATCATCAGTTTTACTCCAGGAACCCTGGATGCACTTCATCCTGTTCCAATCCGCCAAAGGGGTGTCCCTTACAGAAATTCCCGAACACCGTTCTTAGCAAATATCAAGTTGTTGAGAATCTGATCTTATTTGCACTTTGAAAGGGTTGAGTATGCTGTGGTCATCATGGCAAAATACGACCAGGCAAAGTATACTAGTAGGTTTTGGCTACTTTCCTGTTTACCCTTGGGCTTCCCGCTTCTGTTCCACATGTGGATGGTCGTTCGCTTGTTTCATCGGCGGTGTTGCGTAAAATTAAAATTTGTGGTCTCGTTTTTCCGGGCAAGGCTTAGTACTCTAGCTTCCCTTCTAATTCCATTTGGCTGGCCTCTGACCTGTGGCGGTTTCACGTTTAATTGAACTTAAACCCATTCTAGGTAATCTCTGGTTGGTTCCAAGGTGTTGTAGCTTCTAGGAAATGAACCGTGTATGAAGACCTTAGATTATCCGGGACATGGTTCACTGGAACCGACCCCAATCCCAAAGGCAGTAATCATTTTTAGAAATACGTGCGACGGAACTTTCGACTCCACGTTCGATGTCTAGTTTTTATGGCCAGTAGAAGAAAAAATCAGAAGTCATCACACAATGGTTTTCAAAAGTAATTGCTACTTAAAGAACCCATGTGTTTCGTTGGTGATAACCAGTCTCAGTAGGAATGATAGTTGGCCTGTGCCGTGTCTGGCGTATCCGTCGACATTTGTGTTCCAAGTGCTCTGTTTCATGACTTGAATCAATGTCAATGCACAATTTTCACCAGACCCGACATGCCGTTACTCCATCCAAGGGCTTTGTGAGCGGTAGACGTCTAAAAATCTGAGGTGTGGTACATGGGAAGAGGTCGCTCAAGTTTACTGATGATGAAGAAGTCATCACCCGGTGGACTTGAGAGGCGACAGTAAACGGCGCGAAGCAAAGCGATTAGTTTAGCGCAGATGACCCTGAATACACAGTGCATTACAAAGGGATATGAAGGCGGTGCGCAGTAGACAACCAGTATAAGCGAACAATCTACGCGTCCCAATGCGTTCCCGTTCATCCAAGAGAATGGAGTAACCGAATGCCGAAATTTCCCACGACATTTAATGTGAGTCGGGCCTCCGTGAACACCATTATGGACGACAGTTCGAGAGAAGCAACCTGTTCATTATCAGACAACTTTTAGTTCAAAAGGGGCCTTCCACGTGGCGTGTTTGTGCCGGGCGGTTAGCAACAAAATAATAATAATAATAGTGATAATAATAATAATAATAATGCTTATCCCAATTCGTGCGGTCGCACACTCAGACATGAAGAGCTCAGAAACTGTCCCCAAGAACAAAGATCTCACACATAAATGATGTCATTTTAGAACGTACATTTTAGGCCATAATATCTTCTTAGCAGTCAACATTTTGTTAGAAATTTTCCGTCAAGTCCACTTAGGGTGTGAAGTTCAATTGATGCAATAGCTCACCATTCTTGGCCTGCGTCTAATTTACATGCGAAAAAATTGAAGGAGAACATCAGTGAAAAAGTTGTTGCTATGCTTGTGAATTCAAAGAAAACCGTTCATGGTCTCTGTGTGACAGGGTCTTCTAACTTTGAAGCGGAGGTTCAACCAAGAGAAACCAAGGCTTGTGAGTTTGTCGCATCAAATAACTTTGGTGCTGCTTTGGGTCACAGTGTTCAAATGCTGTGCCCGATGCCTGCTGCACGTCGTCAGCATGGTGACCCTGAGAGCAACGTTTTACCTACTGCGAACTAGCGGCGAGTTTGTTTTCTACGGTTTTTTTCCACCCTACACTCGGAGGGGAGATACTTAAAAAACGCACCTTTCTGCTGACATATGGAACGTCATTGTCTGTGCGTTGTACTATGTTGCACAGGAATTTGGGTAGGCGAAGAACGGCTAAGCTACCACCATTTCCCGCGGCGGGCTCTAGCTTTGTCTTTGGTTTGTCGTTTTTCGCCTGCAGGGATTGACCGAACGTTTAGGGTTTAGAAAATGTGGCCCAAAGTTTCTTTCTTGTGTGACCAGCCGGTGCTCGTTCCAACCACTCATTTCGACCATATGCAAAAATCTGCGTTTTTAAACGCTTTACAGAGGCAACCAACAAGGCTGTGAATTGGTAATTTGTTGAAATATTGGTGGCTAGGGTGAGATCACAGCCACCTGATCAACAACCAATGAAGGCTGTGAATTGTTTAGGGGAGATTCATATATATAGGCTCACGGCTAACTTCGACGTGCAAGGTGTTGCCACTTACGTCTTAGTGGGGTCTCACCACCCTCGTCCGCTTCATCACCCAAACATAGCACACATGTTCTTCCCTGTTGTCATCTAGAAAGATCATATGCACAACAAATGGAAATAATTGATGATTTCCTGATTACAAGCAGGTGCAAGGTGCACTTACGTCTTAGTGGGGTCTCACCACCCTCGTCCGCTTCATCACCCAAACATAGCACACATGTTCTTCCCTGTTGTCAGTCATAAAGATCATATGCACAACAAATGGAAATAATTGATGATTTCCTGATTACAAGCAGTCACAGCCAACACCTTGTATTATCCGTTATGTTGACAATGAAATTTCCCACGTTTATTCTGTCTCATTCGTAACCCCCGTCCCACTTTTGTGTTTAGTGTGTATATATGAACTGACGCTTGTTTGCCCTCACCACTTCGCCCATTTGGCCTTGAGGTCATCCGACCATTTGTATCTGACTTTGCACGTGTGACTGTCGCACGTGGGAGACTGTTTTCTCCCTTGCTTTGTACACTTGTAGTCCAAGCGGACTATTTGTTTTGGACGCGTATCTACTGTCGAGGTTTGTATAATTTGTGAATTGCTCTTACCCTAATA